CTAGTTGTCTTACTATTTCCACCACATCTGCAGTTACTTCCTTCACTGAAGTCTTGAACTCCTCAAAGTCATCCAGGAGGGTTCAAATCAACTTCTTCCAAACTCCTGCTAATGTTGATATTTTGACCTCTTCCCATGAATCACAAATGGTCTTAATGGAATCTAGAATGGTGAATCCTTTCAAGAAGGTTTTCAATTTACTTTCCCCAGATCCAACAGAAGAATCACTATGTATGGCAGCTATAGCCTTATGAAATAAATTTCTTAAACAATAAGACTTGAAAGTTGAAATTACTCTTTGAACCATGTGCTGCAGAATGGATGCTGTGTTAGCAGGCATGAAAACATTAATCTCATTGTATTTCTCCACCAGAACTCTTGGGTGACCATTTACATTGTCAATGAGCAGTCATATTTTGAAAGGAATCTTTTCTTCTGAGCAGTAGGTCTTGACAGGGGCTTAAAATATTTCACAAAAGTTGTAAACAGATGTGCTGTGATCCAGGCTGTGTTATTCCATTTAAAGACCATAGGTAGAGCAGATTTAGCATAATTCTTAAGGGCTGTAGGATTTTCAGAATGGTAAATGAGTACTGGCTTTCACTTAAAGTCACCAGCTGCATTTGCCCTTAACAAGAGAGTCAGCCTCTCCTTTGATGCTTTGAAGCCAGGCGTTGACCTCTCCTCTCTAACCATGAAAGTTGTAAATGGCATCTTCTTCCAAAATAATGCTGTTTCATCTACATTGAAATCTGTTGTCTAGTGTAGCCACCTTTGTTAATTATATTAGCTAGCACTTCAGGATAACTTATTGCAGCTTCTACATCAGCAGTTGCTCCTTTGCTTTGCATTTTTGTGATAGAGACAGCTTCTTTCCTTAAACCTCATGAACCAGCCTCTGTTAGCTTCAAACTTTTCTTCTGCAGCTTCCTCACCTCTCTCAGCCTTCACAAAAATGAAGAGAGTCAGGGCCTTGCTCTGGATTAGATTTAGGCTTAAGAGAATGTTGTGGGGGGGCTGGCCCCCTGGCCCAGTAGTTAAGTTCGGGGGCTCTGCTTTCACCAGTTCGAATCATGGGCGCGGACATGGCATCACTCCTCAAGCCATGCTGAGGCGGCATCCCACATGCCACAGCTAGAAGAACCCACAACTAAAAATACACAACTATGTACTGGGGGGATTTGGGAGATAAAGGAAAAATAAAATCTTTGGAAAAAAAAAAAAAGAATGTTGTGGCTTGATCTTCCATCCAGAGCACTAAAACTTTCTCCATACCAGCAATAAGGCTGTTTCACTTTCTTATCATTCGTGTGTTCACTGCAGTATAGCACTTCTAACTTCCTTCAAGAACTTTTCCTTTGAATTCACAACTTGGCTAATTCTTTGATGCAAAAGGCCTAGCTGCCACTTGGCCTATCTCAGCTTTCGACATGCGTTCTGCATTAAGCTAAATCATTTCTAGCTTTTGATTCAAAGTGAGAGACGTGTGGCTCTTCCTTTCACTTGAATACTTAAAGTCCATTGTAGGGTTATTATTTGGCCTAATTTCAATATTGTTGTGTCTCAGGGAATAGGGAGATCTGAGGAAAGGAAGAGAGATGGCGGGAATGGCTAGTTGGTGGAGCAGTCAGAACACACACGTGTCTATTAAGTTCACTGTCGTCTATGGGCGTGGTTTGTGGTGCCCCAAAATAATTACAATAGTGACATCAAAGATCACTGATCACAGATCATCATAAAAAATAATAATGAAAAAGTTTAAAATATGTGAGAATTACCAAAATGTGACACAGAGACATGAAGTGAGCAAATGGTGTTGGAAAAATGGCACTGATAGATTTGCTCTATGCAGGGTGGCTAAAAACCTTCAATTTGTGAAAAATGCTTCAATATCTGTAAAGTGCAATAAATGAAGTGCAATAAATTGAGATTTGCCTGTACCTGTGTTTTAAATTATTTATTTAAGTTTATAGAATTTAGTTTTTAATAATGGCTGTGACTAAGACCTGCCTTATAACACTTCTGAAAATTTAACAATCAGTTCTCAAGAGCCAGTTAAGGCCACATCCAAGATACCACTGGATAAGTATGAATCTTAAATAGTTACTTTTGAGTGACATCAGTGAAAATGATGATGAACAACCTCTGAAAATCCTCTCCTCCATAAAAGCAGTCAGAACAGTGGACAAAATGGTTAGGAATCAACTTTTTCTGTATTCTGGAAATTAACAAAGGCTTCCAGCAATTTGAGGTGTTTATTAAAGAAAAATGGCTGAAAAGTGAGCACTGTGCAGTTTTAATTTGCTCTATTCCATTCTACCCTATCCCCAGTTCTGTGGTAGCCTTGAAAAGCAAAACCTGCAATCACAGTGAAAACCACCAGCTTGGTAGTCATGCAAGATGGAACAGTGAATTAAAGTTCATTCAAATCCCCATTCCCAGAGAACTGTCATTATTTGACCTGCCTGGTGGCTCCCCGGAAGATCCCCCCCTCATAGGCCATTTTTATTTGATCTGACTTGGAGCCACCAGTGGAAACCACCATTTTCCCCCAGAGAAGTTTGTCAAAAAACAGTCAGAGACAATTGTTCAACAATGTAGCTGCCAAGGTAGTAAATAACAGGGCAAAGAAGAGGCTAACCAAGAAACTCAAAAGGGAAAACTGAGAAATGAGATGTCCAGAGAGTGTCTGAAAAGCTCTGATATGAACCTTGGTATTGAAAAGGCCATACACATGTCCAGGGTTGTATACATGCTCAGGAAAGACATGAGAATGCCCTAAGGTCAAAATTCTGGCCAACCTTGAGACTCTGCATGAGCAAGAAGGAGGCAGAGTTTTAAACTGCTTGGTTGGGTGTTGACTGCCTACACCAAATTGCATACAGAGCCCTTCAGCAAAAACTAGAACACCTGTTCGTTCCAGGCATGTAAGGAAAGCTGTGTCTAATCACTGTTTCAGGACATATCCAAAGAACTAAAGGAAAGTGTGAGAACAATATCTCACCAAATGAAGACTATCAAGAAAGACACAGAAATTATTATTTAAAAGACAAAATAAAAATGCTAGAGTGGGAAAGTACAATAACAGAAATGAAAATTTCACTAGAGGGGCTCAAAAGTAGGTAAGAATCAGCAAGACTGAAAAGTAGGTCAACTGAGATTATCCAATCTGAAAAAAAGAAAACAAATAAGAATCAAGACAATAATGAGTAGAGCCTCAGAGACCTGAGTGACACCACGGAACATACCAATATACTCATAATGGGTGTCACAGGAGAGGAGAGATAGAAGAGGCAGAAAGAATATTTGAAGAAACAATGGATGAAGTCGAAGAGATCCACATGTAGACATATCATAGTCAAACTGTCAAAAGCTAAACAGAAAGAGAAAATTTTGAAAGCAGCAAGACGGAAGTGACTTGTCAAGTCTGAGGGAACTTAAATAAGAGTTGATTTCTTGTTAGTAACCAATTGGGCCAAAAAAAGTGGGATGACATATTCCAAGTGCTAAAAGAAAAATACTGTCAATCAAGAATTCTATATCTAGCAAAACTATCCTTCAAAACTGAAGGATCAACTTCCATCATTACAGCATGAAGAGCTCCACTACCTGCTTATAAGTGAAAATTATTAAAGGAAACAACAGAGCCAGCCCTGATGGCCTAGTTTAAGTTCAGAGCACTCCACTTCAGCAGCCTGGGTTTGGTGCCTGGGCATGGAACCACACCACTCGTCTGTCAGTAGTTGTGCTGTGGTGGTGGCTCACAGAATAGAGCCAGAAGAACTTACAACTATACACAACTATGTACTAGGACTTTGTGGGGGAAAAAGGAAGAAAAAAGGAGGAAGATTGGCAACAGATGTGAGCTTATGGCGAATCTTCCCCTGCAAAAAAAAAAAGAAAAGAAAAAAGAAAGAAAACAATGTAAAAAAAAAAAAGGTAAAATGAGTTAAGAAAAACTCCAAAAAGAAAGAAAGAAAAAACCAAAAAAAACCCATACCATTCAAAGCCTTTGGAAATGGTCCTAAGAGCAAACAGCAAATGAAGAAACATCTATTCAAGACAATATAAAAACATTTGGCAGGCAAGGTAAGAATCTGTGGTATTTAAAGAAAGACTTCTGCCTGCCTCCTTGCTCCCAGCTCAGTGAGATGGAGGCTACACTTCAGACTGCTGTAGCCAAGAACATAGGGCTATTTCTTCTCTCAGCTACCAGCTGGAAGGTTTTATTCCTGGGAGAAACAGAATTCAGTGTTTCTCATCCTGTCCACAGCTGTCTAGTGCTGAGGCTAAGTCCTAAGAGGTAGGGGCTCCCTTCTTTTACCAACCTCCACTCATGGAATGGAGACTCTACCTGCTACATGGCACACTGAGAATAGTGTAGGAAGTGCAATACAAGGAAATGCAGACAAACCACAGTGAGATAACATTTCACACCCACTAGGATGGTATAACAAAAACAAAACAAACAATATTAAGTGTTGGTGAGAGATTTAGAAAAATTGGAACTGTCATACATTCCTAAAATCTAAAATATAAAATGGTGCAGCTGCTTTGGAAAACAGTCTGGCACCTCAAAATGTTAAACATAGGGTTACCATATGACCCAGCATTTCCAATCCTAGGTATATACTTAAGAGAAGTGAATGATTTTATTTATATGAAATGTCTAGAATGGGCACATCTATAATGGAAAGTAGATTAGTAGTTGCCAGGGGGGAGCGAAGAATGGGAAGTGACTGGTAGTGGTTATAGGGTTTTCTTTGGAGGTGATTTAAGTATATTCTGGAATTACTGGTGGTAACGATTGCACACATTTATGACAAAAGTTCATTGAATTGCATACGATAAAAGGGCAAGTTTAATGGTATGTTAATCATATCTCAAAAAAAAGAGAGAGAAAGAGTCACTTTTCACTTGGAATTTGGTCTTTATGGATTAGGAGGTTGGCAACCACTTGGTCAGCCTTATGCAGTGTCAACCAAACATTAATAGCTTACCTCAGTTCCTGTTTCTCTCCAATCCCAAGCCCGACTTCCCCCTGGCCACACTTTGCAGTCCTTATAGGTTTTAGTAGAGCCTTGTACTTTCATTTGCCCCCATGAGAGGGAAGCAATTTCAGGGGAAGACATATGGAACTTAACTGAACTCTGAAATTAAAAGAAAAAATATACTGAATCAGTTATAAAGTAAGGTTGAAACAGCTCCAAAATGAAGGATCTATACTACATACAAAATATATTTTAAAATATAATACTATATACAAAATATAGTAAGCAGTGGTCCTCTATGAGTTAAGCATCCTTCTCATTTATGTGGTTGTCACATCTTCTCTAGAGGTCTAAAAAGTAAAATGATATTTTTGGGATCCTGAATCATTCAATCATGAAAACTAGATACTACAATTATTTCTCAGACTCTAGAGGGAATTCTCAGGATATTTTTTGAGAGACAAAAGTGGGAATGCAAACTGCTGCAGCCACTATGGAAAGCAGTATGGAGATTTCTCAAAAAACTAAAATAGACATACCATATGACCCAGCCACCCCACTACTGGGTATCTACCTAAACAACTTGAAATCAACAATCCAAAGTAACATATGTACCCCTATGTTCATTGCAGCACTATTCACAATAGCCAAGACATGGAAACAATCCAAGTGCCCATTGACCGATGATTGGATAAAGAAGATGTGGTATATATATATACAATGGAATACTACTCAGCCATAAAAAAGACAAAATCATCCCATTTGTAACAACACGGATGGACCTGGAGGGAATTATGCTAAGCTAAATAAGCCAGACAGACTGAGAAAGACAAACACCATATGATTTCACTCATATGTGGAATATAAACAAACACATGGACAAAGAAAATGGTTCAGTGGTTACCAGGGGTGGCCACAGGGGGTGAAGGGGAGCACTTATGTGGTGATGGACAAGAAATCATGTACAACTGAAATTTCCCAATGATATAAACATTGTTATGAACGCAATTTAAAAAAATTAAAAGGTGGAGATTTGCTTCAGCAAGGCTGATACATCCTCTCTCCCAAGAGCAACTATTGAGCTGGACAAAACTGTCAAAATAACCACTTAGTACTCTAGAAATAATCTTAAGGGCATACTAGAAATTGAGAAGTGCTTATTCACGAAAATCACTGAATTTTAGATAAGAACAGAAAGATGTTTTTTCTTCTTTCCTTGGATTATTCCCATGCCCCAACACCAATTCTGTTGGCACAGAGGTTCAACTTGGTTGGGGCAGGGCATGAAAATCAACAGTCTTGCTGCTACAGCCAGAGGAGGCAGTTCATTTAGAGCATTATCAGCTAAACTGATGATCTCAGCAGCAAGCAAATATAGATGGCAGATGGCTCTGCTTCCTTCATATTGTGGGCCTGTTTGGTGCAAACAATGGATTGGCAGAGCAGGCAAGGATTTAACTGTAATTTCTCAGAGGTGACACAGCCATAGGGGGCTTGATAAACTCTCCACACATCCCAAGTGGACCAAAGGCTGTGAGCATATGCATCAATGACTGGAGTAGGCCTAAGTCATGCAAACATTCTGGGCCAACTGAGCCTACAGCACATGCGAAGTGGAGAAGCAAGAAGGCTCACGAGGACTCAGTACAGTATAAAAACCGAGGAAGACATAAAAACAGCCTGAACGTTGAATGTACTTCCCAGTGTGCATACTGATCCCTAAGTAGAGAGTGAAAGTCTTACTGGCTTCAGGTGTTTGGACATAATCTTTGATTAATCTTTGGGTGAACAATAAGCTATATAAACACAGTGGAAACCCCAAGGAAGCCAAGCTTAAAAATAAAAACAAGAAAAAAAAAACAACCAAGAAAACAGATTCCAGTGAGCACATATTGCATGGGAGACAGAACGCAGAGATTTAGTCTAGGCAAGCAACTAAACACAAACAAATAATCTAAGAGCAACAATGTGCAGGGGGAAAATCAGAATCCAGACTTCCTACAGTATTATCTAGAATGTCCAGTTTCCAACAAAAAATTACAATATATGCAAAGAAACAAAAAATGTGACCCACACTTATCACCTGAAACTCTATTAGTGTTCCTGTATGTTTGACTTAGCAAAGACTCCGAAGAAGCTATTATAAATATATTCAAAGAACTAAAGGAAACCATGTATGAAGTTATACAAAATTCTGATGACAATAATTCCATGAATACAGAATCTCAATAAAGAGACAGGCATTTCAAAAAAGAATCAAATAGAAATTCTGGGTTTGATGAGTATAATAACTAAAAGGTTCTTGTATCCGTCATGGTTCTCCGGAGAAACAGAACCAGTAGATTATATATATTAAGAGACTCATTTCAAGAACGTAGCTCATGCAGTTGTGGGAGTTGGCCAGTCCAAAGGTGTAGGGTAGGCTGGCAGGCTAACTCCTGGGCAAAAGTTGTCATTGTATGGCAAAGTATGGATGTGTTATTTCTTCTTCCTCAAGGAAATCTGTTTTGCTTTTAAGGACTTTCAACTGATTGGATGAGGCCTACCAAGAGTACTGATCGTAATCTCCTTTATTGAAAAGTCAACTGATTATAGATGTTAACTACATCTACAAAACACCTCCATAGCAACACCTAGACTAGAGTTTGATTGAATAACTAGCTACTATAGCTCAGCCAAGTTGACATATAAAACTAACCATCACAGTTCCCCCCCATCAGTATGGTGTCTATATACATGTCCTTAAACCATATTTAATCTCCAAATAAAGTCAATAACAAAGTGATACTTCTGCCTAACATTAATAAATACTAATCCATTTTTTCAGCTTCAACTTCTGAATATCCATTTTTAAAATGTATTATATAACAAAGGACATAAACATACCGTTAGGTACCATGGGAGGAAGATACTAATTTACAAAACATGATTCCTGTTCTAGAGGAGCTAATATTATCCTAGAGGAAAGAAGACATATACAAATAACTATAATATAACTTTTAAGAAAAGTGACTTTTTTTAAAACGAGGTAACTTTTGAAAAGTGGAATAAGGGAAGTATAATGAATTTTTATTAGGGTTGAAAAAGACTTCTGTATCAGTCTGCTAGAACTTCCAGCACAAAATACCCCAGGCTGGGTGGCTTAAAGAACAGAAATTTATTTTCTCAAAGTCTGGAGCCTGGTAGTCTATTATCAAAGCGCCAGCAGCGTTGGTTTTGGTGAGACCTCTCTACCTGGCTTGCAGATAGATTCCTTCTTGCCTTGTCCTCACATAGCCTTTTGTCTGAGCTTGAGTGCTGTTGGTGTCTTTTCCTTTTCTTACCAGAATACCACTCTTATAGTAGTAGGGCCCCACTCTCAAGGCCTCATTTAACCTTAATTACCTTCTTAAAGGCCCTATCTCCAAATATAGTCACATTAGGGATTAGGGCTTCAACATACGAATATTGGGGAGAGACAATTCAGTCCATTAGCAGCTATCCTGTGGCAGTACTACACAGTCTTGATTACTGTAGCTTTGTAGTAACCTTTGAAACCAGAAGTGTGAGACCTTCAACTTTGTCATTTAAAAAATTGTTTAGGATATTCTAGGTCCCTTGCATTTCCATATTAATATTAGGGTCAAATATGCCAATTTCTACCAAAAAGTCAACTGTAATTTTGATAGGGAGACTCTCCAGATAAACTTAAGGAGTACTGCCATTTTTTCAATAGCTAAGTCTTCCAAACTATGAACAAGGGATGTCTTCCTATAAAGACTTCTTTAATTTCCTTTAAGAATATTTTTTAATTTTCAACTCTTCTATTTAAAAGAACATTGTTCCTAAATATTTTATTCTTTTTGCGGCAACTGTAAGTGTAATTATTTTCTTTATTTTGGATTGTTTATTGCTACTGTATAGAAATACACTTGATTTTTGAGTATTTATCTAGTATTCTGCAAACTTGTTGAACTTATTAGTTGTAATTAGTTTTTTGGTGGCTTTCTTAGGATTTTCTATATACAAGTTCATGTTATTTATGATAGAGATTGTTTTACTTCTTCCCTGCCAATCTGGATGACTTTTTTTTTTTTTTTTTTGCCTAATTGCCTTGAGTAGAACTTCCAGTACAATGTTTAATAGAAGTGGAGATAGCAGACATTCTTGCCTTTTTCCTGACTTTATGGAGAAGGCATCAGTTTTCACCATGAGGTATATTAGCTGTGAGCTTTTCATAGATATCCTTAATTAGGTTCAAAAAGTTCCTTTTTATTCTTAGTTTGTTGAGTGTTTTTATCATGGAAGACTACCGAATTTTGTCAAATGATTTTGAGGCTTCTAGCAAGATGATTGTGTTGTTTTTTTCCTTTATTCTATTAAAACAGTGTAATATATAGACCAATTTTTGGATGTTAAGCCAACATCACATACTTGGGATGAATTCCACTTGGTCATGGTGTATAATCCTTTTTGACCTGTTGCTGGATTTCGTTTGCTAATATTTTGCTGAGGATTGTCGTGGCTAGATTCATAAGGGATATTGGTCTGCATTTTGTTTTTCTTTTCTTCTGACGTCTTTGTTTTTGCAACCAAGGTAAATCTGACCTCATGGGATAAGTTGGCAAGTAGTCCCTCTCTTCTAATTTTTGGTAAGAGTTTGTGAAGTATTGGTATTAATTATTCTTTAAACTTTTGGAAGAATTCACCATGAAGACATCTGGCCCTGGGCTTTTTTGGGGGAGGGTTTAAATTCCTAATTTAATCTTTTTACTCGTCATAATTCCATTCACAATTTCTACTGTTTCTTGAGTTTCAATAGTTTGTGTTGTTCTAGGAATTTGTTCATTTGTATTACCCAATTTATAAGCATACAGTTATTCATAAAATTCCCATATAACCCTTTTTTTATTACTATAGATAGTCATGTCCACTCATTCATTTCTGATTTCAGTAATTTGAATCTTTTCTTTTGGTCTTGGTCAGTGTAGCTAAAGATTTGTCAACTTTGTAGTTATTTTCAAAGAATCAACTTTTGGTTTTGTTGATTTTCTCTATTTTCCTGTTCTTTATTTCATTAATATCTATGCTAACGTTTATTACTTCTTTCCTTCAATTTGCTTTGTGTTTACTTTGATTTTTTTTTCAGTTTTGTAAAGATGGAAAGTTAGGTTATTGAC